AAGGTCATATCTCTAAATGTGTAAACCTCATTCTTTGATTAATCTGGGACAGTTAATTATCTCTCAGAATTCTTACTATCCTGTAGTAATCAGGCTACTTAATACCCTGAAGAGGAGGATGCGAAAGACTGTTCTCATATGGGAGTGTTGCAAAAGAATGTTTTTGTTTCATTTGTCTCAGGTTTAAATACATTGTCCTCCAGTTGCTGTGAGGATCATTCCCTTTAAGTACCTTGGTTAACAGTGCCAATGTGTGCACACTGCAGTAATTGTCTGCCACTGTTATTTTAAAGGCTAAATCTAAGCCTGGCTGTAACTATAGCAACATGATCAGTTTACAGAGCAGAGCTTTCTAAATAAGCTTGAAAAATAATTTGCTGTTAAATTCTAAGACAGACCATCATCTCCTGCCTTTGTTTGTTCTTTGTACAGGGAGTTCACACAGTATTTGCTGTCTCAGCAACTTCCGCATGGAAAAATGTACAGAAACTGGTTTTTGTTCCTGTGTACAAAACCCTGTTCAACACTTACATTTTTACTACAATGAATCACTAACCTGCAGAGCAACAAATGGTAGAAATAATAATAAAGAAAGTTTTAATTTGCATTGATAGGTGGCCAAGGAAAGGATGAAGGCAGAACAGTCTGGTTAGTTTTTTGTGCACTTATACCTAGCTCAGATGATCAAGTAGGCAAGTTATCAGTTTCATTTTAAGTTTCAATCACAGTGTGAACCAAGCCTCAGGGAAGCTGTGTGAGAAGGTGTTAGGTATCACTATGTCCATTTTACAGAGAAACAAACTTAGGCACTGCCAGGTGGAGGGGATGTCCAAACATTCAGTACCCAAGGTAACTAATGAAAATATTTCCCATTTCTTTGAGATATTAGATCTATCTCCTTGCATGCAAAGCTGGTAAAAGAGGAGTCTACTCTGTTATTAAAACATATATGTGTATTAATGTACATGGGCTGTAGATACTGAAAACAAAACTGTAATTACCTCAGTCTGTTCTTGGTTTCCTGGGTAATGGAATGATTGATGTAGTGTAGGATGTGGTTGCTCAATAATGCAAACACTCTCTGAATTTAATGATCTTTGAGGCAGATCCTATGGTAACAGAGGATAGTTTCCTTACAAACAGACAGTTGTCTACCATGGTTGTAATGGAAAAAATAATTTTAGTCTCTTTTTACAAGGAAAATAAGCTTGAAAGATTGTGCTGCCTGCAAATTCCTCTCCCTCCATCATTTTTAACATTGAATTATGTTCAGCCAAATTTAATGTATAGATATAAACGTCAAAACACCATACAATGTCATGAAAATCAATAGCTAGGTAGAGGAGAAAGGGCTACATCAGTGCCTTTATTAGGAGTAGAGATTATATATACTCAATGATTCTTACAGCCGTGTTATTATGCACTGCTGAAATTGGCTTTAAACTGGCTAGCTTACCCCCACTGCAGACATGGGCTGCTACACATTTAGATTCACTCCCAGATCCATTTCTATTTTACAAGCCCTCTGTTGGAAATCTGGTCCTTAATCACTAGCTGTTGAGCACCTACATCTCCTGGTGATTTCAGGGTTCTTTCTTTCTTTGAGTCAGATCTTAAAACAGCACACTGGGAAAAGAACACCTGCTGGGTTTATATGGCTTTTTGCTTGTTCACTTTTAATAAGCTTTAGTAAGTTATTGCACAGCCACTTTGAAAGCAACAAGGCAATTTATGCCAGGTTATGAATGCTCACAGTTCCAGCTGTTGTGTGTCTTACCAAACTCGCAGATGAAGTAAAATTCCTGGCTGCAATTTTCAGTCACACCCCACTGATACTTGGCATTCTTCAGGATATACCCACATGAGGATGAGTAGGGAGATGGCTGATCCTTGTACCAGTTACTGTAGCTTATATTTGAAGTGTCCAGCCAAATCATTGCCCCTGTGAACACAATAATCATGTCCCAAATGTTTATTTTCCACAGTAACACAATTACAGAGTCAGAGCCTGCAGAGGAAGAAAGTAGCCCTGCTCCTACTGAAGCTGAAGTGGATTAGCCTGCACAGGGATCTTCAATTACACTTTATATTTAACTTCATATAATCACTAAAAAAGAGAAACCACCACTTCCCCCTGTGCTCCCAGCCTCAAAATTCCACCATTTCCCTTGCATTAGATCTTGCAGCACTTCCTTGTGTGATGAATTGGCTCAGCTTACTCTTCCACTGGAGACCTAACCCAGCACATTTTTTTCACTGGGTCAGCAAGCTTATCTAGTTCATCACCACAAGATCTGATGGAAAGCGTAACCAATGGAGGTGGGAAGTGAAGCAGGCAATTAAGACATCTTAATATGAATCTGAAGTTACAGCAACAAAAAACAGTGGCTTTTCAGCCAGTGTCTACAGAGGGACTGATTGCATTTGTCATGGTAAGTAAGCATCATGGGATGATACAGTTTTAAAGAAGACATGATATCAAAATCACCTACCATCAGTAGTTTCATTCAGCAAGGAGTTTGAGATCAGCCCTATCCACCATTCCTGATCCTCCGCAATATGTTTTTGCAAGAACTCTTGAGTTTCCTCATTTTCAATAAAGACCAGGTGCCCCCCTCCTCTCTCACACCAGCTCTGGGCACCTGTGAAGGTACGCTGGAGTCTAACAAACTCATAGCATGAACTGTTGAAAGCCAGCTGGTACTTTGAGCAAGGGATTCCTTCTTCAGTGGTTGCCTCCTCCAGAGCCCAGCGTACAGCAAGAGAGATGAGAACTGCAATCCCAAGCCACATTGTCAGCGCAGTGCTCTGGGTGGTTCTGGTCTTGCTTATCACAGCACCACTCTTTTTGCTGCCTTCTTCAAAAGCTTGAGATGTCACCCCTGTCATGTCATCAGCATTTCTCCTTTTCTGCTTGCAACAATAGCATCAATAGAACATGGAACAGATTGCTTCCAGTGTATAATGGTAATTGCTTCTGAGGATACACCCAACAAGCGTTGATGCTAAGTCACTGCAATGGCCATTGTGAGGCCTATTGTATAAATGTCTCATTCCATGTGAAGTCAGTTTGAAGAGAAGACATCATGGTATTGGTTTCCTCAGGTGCAGAAGAGATAAAGTTGACAAATGCAACACATGGAAAGTGAGATAAAGCTCCTACATCAAAGGCATCATTGTGTGAGGAGGTTGTTACAACAACAGAGAGAAACAATAGTATGACTGAGAGGAGCCTGAGGAAAATGAGAAACACAAGGAGTTATGAGATGGGAAAACACGTAGTGCTCCCCTAGATACATTTAATTGGGTTTGATTGCTTTATTTTTTATTATTATTATTTGAGGTGCTTCATTTGGATGCTAAGGCAATGTCTGCAATTTTTATATCAAATTCACCCTGACCACCTGTTTACACATACACAGATTCATCTCAGCTGTCACAAGGAAACTTCATTCTCAATCATTGTGTCTGGTTAGAATCCCAGCCTCCAAGCAAAATGTTCTCATCATCCCATAAAAGCTAAGCTGCTTAACTACATAGAGCTACAGTATTCATACCTGATCTGAGGTAGCAGGGAAGGCCAGAGGTTAAAACAGTGATTTAGAAAAGATGAAAGTATTGCCTTAATCATCAGAGCTACTTGGGAGTCCTGTGTACAACATTCCAAAGGCTGCTGATGGACTTTGGGAAGCCAGCCTAGCAACATATAGGAGCTGAAATCCACAAGTGCTTCCTTACAAAAGATATTCATCAGATGTACAAGGCCACTGGATTATCAGAAATACAGTACAAATATGGAACTTTAGCTATTGCAGTCCTCCTGCCCTTGGCATTGACTCCAAAGGGGAAGAGAATGCACTGAGATGGAGGGACAGACATTGTGATGGGTGTCTCCCACCACACTTGAAAATCACTGAATCATAGAATGGTTTCGGTTGGAAGGAACCCTAAAAAAGAACAAATAATGTTTGGAAATGTCTACAGATAAAGCCAAGCTCTCCAAGTGCATCTACATCTGACAGTTTCCACAGGAGGGTGATTTTTTTTCCTAATCTGCAGTTGCTGTAAGTAACTCTTCAGCTGCCTGCAGCAGATGGGGAATGGAAGAAAGACCACTTCCCTCTTTTGCAGTTGGTTGATTTCATCTATTTTAGTGCCAACACAGCAGTCTGTCAGTTTATTCTGTTTGCCACAAGGAAATGCATTTTGCATGCTTTAAAAGCATCAAAATTAGCAACTAGGGTCTCGAAGAAGAGAGAAAATTCCTGAAAGCCCTTTTCACTCAGAAATGAAAAGTGGCTTGATTTCAAATAAACTGTGCCCCTTGAATGTACCATTTTGTAGGAAACATGTCCTTCGTATTCTTCCTCAACAGAAAGGCATTTTTTAAAAATAGTCTTCTTGTGTCAGAAATCCACATGGAAGCTTCACAGCATAATGGTTTATGGTTTGGGGGTTTGTTTTGGCTTCCTATTTGCTTACTGACTTTAAATAATTTAAATAGTTTGAGAAGTTACTGAAATAGTCACATATGTTAGTGTGCAAGAGACAAAATGGTGCACCTTGCTGTTTAGTCTCATGTTGCCTGTTTCAAAAGGCACTCATGGAAGTGCTTAATTAAAGCTGTCTCTGTCTCAAGGGTTGGCTGGCAATTACTGCAAGTTCTCCTCTTCTGGCTGCCTATGGGAGTATAACTGACCCCAAACAGGTATTATAAAGCAACTCCAGTAACTTCAGGGAAGTGTCAAGCATAATATCAGCTACACAGGTTTTGGATACACCAAAACCCTTCACTTGCTGGATTTTGTTTGCCTGTTGCCTAGTTCTGAAGAACTGGAGCAGACTCACAAAAGAAAAGTCTGTAGAAAATTATTGTTTTTAAGGAACTAGGAGCCCTTTGTATGTAGCAAAGACTTGTTAATCCTTGTTCAGTTATAGCTGCCTGAAAGTCTAATGTAGCAACCACCCTCACAGCACGTGTTATGTTGCTGGTGACTTAAACTGAAACATATTCCCCAGCTAAAATAAGGCTTGCAAAGCAATTGTGTTTTGCAAGCTTTGTCTAGAAATTAGTGACAAAGCCTTCTCAATATTTTCACACCCTCAATCCAGGCTGCCTTAAAGGTATAAACAACTTCTTTCTTTGTGAATTCTCTCGTGTCATTGGAATAAGTCTTTCATTTTCCTCAGGTACATTTTAGGGGGCTCTGCAGAACTCTGTAAACAGAGTCCTAACTTGCCCTTATGAGCTACACCAGATGGCAGCCATCAAGACAAAGTGTCTTCAGAAAAGCATTGTGCTATGTAAAACATCACAAAAGACAACAAGGAAGGATTTATTACTGGTTTTCAAATGCATCCTTCAAGATTTGTTAGTTTTTGTTGTTGTTGTAAGTAGAAGCTGTTGAAGAAGTTTCAGAACACTGAAGCAAATCTTACTTCTGTTTACAATGCTGAAAAAGTTAATAGGTGTCAAAAAAGTAATGTTGGCTTACACTGAGAAGGGAGCCTTCTAGGTGGTGTTCACCACTCCTAAAAATTGAACCCTTTAAAAGCAGTTCAGTTTTGGTAGCCAAATCTCAAAAGTACTCATAAGCACCTTTTTTTTAATTATTTTATTATTATTTTTATTTATTTATTTAATCGAAGCTTATATTTGTCAGTTAGGACAGTTGGAAAGTTTAGCTTTATATGGCTAAATTCTTACAGAACAGGAGATGAGCACAGGCAAAGCTTATCTACCATATGCAGGTGCAGTAGGCTTACCTTGACACTTTTGGAAATCAGCCTTTCATGCCCTAAATTAGGCACCAAG